CGCAAAGAAGACGGGGGATGATCTCACGGTCAGCGGACTGAGGTCTGTATGTCAGCCGCGCAGAGTGCGCTTGACTGTTCTCTGTGTCTTCGTCTTATGTGTTTTATGGATGATGTGGTTTCAGGGGGCGTGGGATTTCCGCGTGCACTCGGCCAAGGGAGGTAGATTACTTGTACTAGCGCCTTTTCTCAACATAGGGGGGGGGTTTGCTAACCGGATTGCCACTGCCTCTGCTTTGGTTAACACCCGTTTGCACAGGCCTTTGGAGTAGAGTGTCGGCGTATGGTATATGACTCAAAAGGCTTATCTCGCCTCCACTTGGTAGTACGCATCGATTAGGTGGGCGAAGATTCCGTTAAAGATCTATCTATTCTCTCCTTTGCTTAGCCAGGACATATTTGCTTGCCTCATATATTGGTTGTTGAGAGTCAATTGTTAAGTATTAGAAAATAGGGATTTTTAACAATAAACTCATGATCACTCGATAAAATTGCTCAAAGAAATGATAAAATCAATGAGCTACACAAATGCCGTCAAGGACTTTCGCAGGGCAAAATAAGATTGACAAATAAATCCTAGTGAACACTAAATAAAGACGTTAAAAATGAGCAACTTAATGCCAGTTTCTGTTGCTCTTCTGCGTCCCAACTCTCCTTTCAAATAAGTACTTGATCACTGAGAAATTATGTAAGACGCTTCTCTTTTATGAATTTACGTTAGCTACTTGTTTTATGCATAGGACCGTTTTTTATGAAACGAAAATAGCAGTTATTACACTAAAAAAGACAAATATAGTAAAACTAATAAGTGCACATGCGACCTCATAAGTAAATATCTCACCGACGAATATCACACAAAGTAGTGAGAAGAAGAAGATGCAATCACTGGAACACGGACTTTATTTTCCTGACGTTTCGGATTCCCTTTGGGAATCCTTAATCATAGGTTATCGAAGAACAGTCTGAAACATGCGCAGATAGGGTGATACATGCACAAATAAAACGGTATTTATAGTTCGTAGCGGTCAACCGCATGCGTACTATAATTGTCAGTTCCTTTAGCCACTGCCTGAGATCTTAATTGGTGCGGTGATGGCCCATCAATTATCACGGCGTTCTTGTCCGCTTCAGATGCGGGGTTGATAATTGCGCGA